TAACCCAAAGGTTGTGGGTTCGAGTCTCGTACCGGCAGGGATTGTAGGGGGGGGGGGGGACTGTACAGCGCTCTCTCCCACCTTCAATACCATGACTGAGGTGCCCTTGAGCAAGGCACCGAACCCCCAACTGCTCCCCGGGCGCCGCAGCATAAATGGCTGCCCACTGCTCCGGGTGTGTGTTCACAGTGTGTGTGTGTTCACTACTGTGTGTGTGCACTTTGGATGGGATAAATGCAGAGCACTAATTCCAAGTATGGGTCACCATACTTGGCCACACGTCACTTTCTTTCTTTCTTTCTTTCTTTAGAAAAGATTGTTCCGGGCCAAAACTGACTTCTTTCATATTTGTCGACCAATATGCAGAAAACTACATCAGTATATCATCATAAACACAGCCGTTTTTGTCTTACGTGAACGTAAACAGATGGTTAGAGAACACACATGTTCAGTATTTTTAGATCTGCGTGAGTTCGGTGTTAAAGAGACAGCAGCCTAATAAACGCGCTGCCTGTCATTAATTTTAATCAAAGAACAAAAGAAAATCATTCACTGATCTTGACTGAATATATTTAATAACTTTAATTGATTAATCTATATTTTATGAAAAGAAAACTATGCAGTGTTTTTAAACTTTTAATTACAGTTTCTGTACCTGAAATTTTGTTCAGTTGTAGGCTATTTATGATATTGCTATTTTTAGCAATTGTCTTTAACACTTTAATATTTGAAATTTATATTAATCTAGTAGTTTTTGCTGTGGTATTTTTTTTAAGCATAGGGAATATTCCTCTTGCAGTGTTCTGTAGGCTGCTGATTTTTGCTCGTGTTATTCAGCTGCAACAGAATGCTTTGTAAAAAGACAGAATAAATGTTTGACATCTAAATGTTTGACTTAATTTTTTTTATATTGGATTTTTTATCTTATTGGAATCGAAACTAGGAATCGATAAGCAAAATCGGAATCGGAAATTAGGAATCCAAACGATACCCAACCCTACTCCAGACCCAATCCCTTCACACCTTCTGCAAGCAATCTCTCCTACACTTCTACCAGCACTCACATATCATCAACACATCTGTCCTCACAGGCACTTTCCCCAACGCTTTCAAGCAGGCTCAGGTGGGGTCACTGATAAAAAAAAAACCACACTAAACACTTCAGAAGAAGAAAGTTACAGACCTGTGTTCTCAGAATGACCAGCTGGATGTTAACCAGTCAGGATTTAAATGGCCACTTAACTAAGACTACATGACTGTTGGTCACTGAAGCCCTGCTGATTGCGAAAGCTGATCTCAAATCATTAGTTAGATCTGTCTGCAGGTTTCGACGACACCAACCATCAGATCCTTCTGTCCAGCCTTTCTTCACTGGGCGTCACAGGACCTCCACTGCACTGGTTTGAATCCTATCTCTCACAGGTAGGTCTTTCAGGGTTACCTGGAGGGGAGAGGTATCCAAAGCACATCAACTGGCCAATGGGGTTCCCCAGGGATCCGTTCTTGGACCCCTCCACTTCTCCATATACACTACATCACTAGGACCCATCATTATAGGCACATGGCTTCTCCTACCATTGCTATGCTGATGACACACAGCTCTATCTCTCATTTCAACCAGATGATCCAACGGTAGCTGCACGGGTCTCAGGTTGCCTGGCGGACATCTCGGCATGGATGAAAGTTTAGAACCGGTTCCAAATTTCCAAGAACCGGGTATTCGATAAGACGCGTGCATTTCGATTCTGCTTAACGATTCCTGCGTTCGCATTTTAATGTGATTAAAAAATATTTAAGTGCATGCGATTTAAGTGCAGGAACGGAAAGAACTTGCGCCCTGTTTGCGCAAGTGCGAGCACAGAGAACAGCGGTCGCCGTACGGGTTCCCGGTTTGTGTCCGTTCTCGAACCGTTCCGTGTATTTCCACTGTAGAAAAGGTTGTTCCGGGCCGAAACTGACTTCTTTCATATTTGTCGACCAATATGCACTACGTTAGTATATCATCATAAACACAGCCGTTTTTGTCTTACGTGAACGTAAACAGATGAGAAAGAAAACACACATGTACAGTATTTTTAGATCTGCGTGCGTTCGGTGTTAAAAGAGACAGCAACCTAATAAACGTGCTGCCTGTCATTAATGTTAATCAAAGAACAAAAGAAAATCATTCACTGATCTTGACTGAATATATTCAATAACTTTAATTGATTAATCTATATTTTATGAAAAGAAAACTATGCAGTGTTTTTAAACTTTTAATTACAGTTTCTGTACCTGAAATTTTCTTCAGTTGTATTTATTTATGATATTGATAATTGATTTGTTTGTTCCTATCTTATTACTCACTGTTTACTTGTCTTTAATACTTTAATATTTGAAATTTATATTAATAGTTGTTTTTGCTGTGGTATTTTTTTTTTTAAAGCATAGGCAAAATTCCTCTTGCAGTGTTCTGTAGGCTGCTGATTTTTGCTCGTGTTATTCAGCTGCAACAGAATGCTTTGTAAAAAGACAAAAGAATAAATGTTTGACATCTACATTTTTTTTATATTGGATTTTTTTATCTTATTGGAATCGAAACTAGGAATCATAAGCAGAATCGGAATCGATAAAATTCAAACGATACCCAACCCTACCGTCAGCACCGTCTAACGTGGCAAGCCTAATATCCAGTGCCATCTACAGTTCACTACCTGCAGGAATCCATGAGCAAGCTGGTTAAAAACGTTGTATTATTTCAACAGTTCTTCAGTTCACAGGCCCCTACATAGGATCAGAGAGCTGACCTTTGTGTTACCAGCCCAGATACTTAACCCTACCAAAGGTCAGAGGTCAAAAAGAGCAGTCTCACAAATCTGACCTATTAAAATTTGACAACATTTATAGCATAAAACTAACACCACATGTCTCCACTATAGAGTAAAACTAACGCCACGTGACCTCCACTCTCTGTCAAATAAAACAACCAATACCTCTGAATCCTTTTGTGAGTACTATATTATAATACTTGCTTGCTTTGCTGGGTTAAGAATGGAACAGCTTGATCATGGATTAGCCTGCCACCTAGTGGCCATTAAACAGCAGTACAATACAACTAAGATGAGCACTGATAAGCACTGATAAGCATCAGCAGGCCAGAAGTACTGTCATTACTAGCCACTGAAATCCAGACAACGATAGTAACTGAGGCAATGAAATCAAACAGTACTTATACGAGTAGTCTGAATGACTCTTCATGACCTCTGGCAGTTATGATGAGTGTGAGTAGACAATGACCGAACAAACATAGACTACATTATACCTGCAAGCAGTTTGGGGTATTTCTGGTGCACCAGATTGGTCAGGTCTCCACCGTCGTCCAGGATCATGTTAAGAGGCTGACCGTTCTTGAAGTAGATGGTCTGCTCTATGCACCACACATACTCTTCATCGGTCTCTCCCTTCCAGGCAAACACTACAATACAGCACAAACAACACACACACACACACACACATTAGACACCGATATAAGCATCATAATTGTGTGACTGGCTGCTACAGATATTCCTGAAAAGGATGAACTGGTCACCACTGGGTTTGCAAAGTTTGTGCTCGAGTGCTTATTTTATTATTTTCCAAAATCTTATTTCATATTTACCTGCCTCACATCCCCAAAATAAATGTGATTTAATTTTACATGAATAAATGTAAATGCAAGTAAAAAAATGTTACAAGTAAATGGTTCTTTGCCAGAGTAAGGTGCAATGTGAAGAGAATGTTGTCAATAGCTGAAAATCTGCTCATTTTAGAACCACAACAAGCTTGAAATAGTTTTGATAGTTTTAATGTGGCATTATTTTCTAGCAGGTAGGGCTGCACGATTATGACAAAAATCATAATTGTCGATTATTCCCTTGAAATTGTAATTGCGGTTATTAATTACGATTATCACAATTTACATTGAATGATGTTTATACCATTGTTTGATGCAACTGCATGCAATATTTTTATATGAAAATAAACAAGCTGAAAACACCAACTGAAAAACCTTACTGAAAAACTCTTGCACCGTGTCTACACCGGACGCGAGTGGCGCGGCACGACCCGACAAAATACAATAGAACCTATTATGCTGTCTACATTGGATGCGGCGCGGCAAATTCCCGACAGTAAACTGCTGCTGCGTTCCATTTATGACGTACTGACACAAATTTCAAATGATTTTCAATGGTCTCTTTGTCGCGTCCAGTGTAGACAGACTTTAGCTGTTGCGGCGCGACATGACAACCGTCACGTCCGGTGTAGACACTGTGTTAGTGCTTTTCTATAGTATTAAGCCTCAAATGTCAAATATACATCGGATTGGTTTCTTCTTTAAATTATAAAAAAAGTAAAAATATGAACGGTATTATAATGTTATACTAAAACTAAAACAATGGAAAAACCCTTAAGATAACATGTAGAAAGAAAAAAAAAAACATATCTTAAGCGTGCAGAATAACATAAGTGGACTTTGAACGATTAATTGCCACTTTGAACGATTACGTAATTGTGGCATCCATAATTGTAACTGCAATTAGAAATTCGATGAATTGTGCAGCCCTACTAGCAGGTATAACATTTAGTTGAGAAAGTCTGTTACATAAGCAATGGATGCAAGTAACAACCACCTACTGTCATCACTCTAAATCATAGACTGTATAAAAAAAAGCTCTAAATGAGATTAATTAGGTTCACATGAAATGCGATAACGCTGTATTACTTCCAAGTCAACCCAATCAATTCAAAAGTTTGGGGTCAGTCATTTTTTAAAATAGATATTTATACTTTTATTCAAAATTAAAAGTGATAGTAAAATATTTATAATGTTACAAAAGATTTATATTTCAAATAAATGCTGTTCTTTTGAAATTTCTATTCTAAGCATCCTGAAATTTTTTTTATTAAGAAAATTAAATATAAATTTCCAACACTGATAAGACAAGAATAAGATAAGAAATGTTTCTTGAGCAGCAAATCAGTATATTAGAATGATTTTTGAAGGATCGTGTGACACTGAAGACTGGAGGAATGATGCTGAAAACTCAGCTTTGATCACAGGAATAAATTACATTTTAAAAAAAATATTACAATAGAAAATATTTTAAATTGTAATATTGTTTTCACTGCATTTTTGATCAAATATATACAGCTTTAGTGAGCATTAGAGACGTTTAAAAAAAATAAAAATAAAAAATAAATAAAACAAATCTTACTGACCCCCAAACCTTTAAACAGTAGTGCATGTTATTCATGCTACTGTCACTGAGATATCAGATAATACTGTGCCGTTATATTTTTGCCAATCAAAATAAGTCTGCATTAACAATTCAAACTTATAAGCTGCATCTGGAATTTAGTCTAAAAAAAAAAACTATGTATAAAGGTCTAAATACATTTTCTAATATAACTAAATAGTGAACTAGTGAGCAGAATTCTAATGCATCACAGTCATGACACGAAAGCGATTACAACTGGCTGTCAGCATAATTATGCCGCTAACTAAAATACCTTCTTAAGGCCAAGTTCTTAGGCAGCACTGCACTTAGGCTTATCCTTTGTGGAGAGGGCAATCTCATAATGCACTGTGATCAGTGAAAAACAAATCCATCCAAGACAGCAGACAAAGAGAGAGACATGTTGATTATAAATATATTTAGAATTCATTCTACACTTAAAAGTATTGACAAGCAATTGAATCTAACTAAAAACAGATCCAATTAATGTGTTATTACAATATTATGTGCATGTTGTGCTTATTGGAGCGCTGCCTAAGAAGAGATTTAAAATAGGCATTTTACATGTGAAACCGGAAAAGCACAGGCTAAAAATCTGTTTGATGTTGTCAGACAAATGTTTTTGCAATCTTTTATAAAAGGTTTAACATTTTTACCACTAAAAACCATTTAGCTTGTAGCCCTTGCAAGGTTTCAGTGCTTAAAAACTGCTTGGGAAAAGTCTTTCATCAACCGAAAGCTGGAATGATGAAGCTGATAAAGTTATCTTTGCCTGAACACTCTTGCATGTTAGTCCTTCAAAAATCTAAAGAATAAACCCATTTGTGCTGATTCTAGGTTTACCCAGCATGGAGCACTCAGAGTTCTCCTTATCTAGATTAGATTACGCAGCTTTAGAGCAAACAGTGGGCAGGATTACAGCAGTCTAGCACACCAACACCTGTTACCTGGAACGCCAGATTTAGCAATGGCTGCCGCTGCGTGATCCTGCGTAGAGAAGATGTTACAGCTGGACCACTGGACCTGGAGCACACAGAGATCAAGGAGAAGGAATGAGATCATGTGACTTGTACAGACTTCATTCATTAGTTTCATAACCTTTTGGATAAAATATGGCCTTGGGCTGGGAAATTCCAGTTTGACAGAGGAAATAGGGGATAAGAAGAACGATGCATTTGAGTCAGACAGCAAGGTTAGCCATCTAGTAGTAGGAAAAATGTGAAGAAATGTGAAGGTACTCTCCCTTTCCAAACAAAGTACTGTGGTAATACCATGATAAAATTACGGAATAATGTTGTAATAATATGAAACATCGTATTTATGTTTCAAAGAATACCATGGCATACAGGGTCAGTAAGGTTTTTTAAAAATCTCTAATGCTCTCCAAGACTGCATTTTTTAATCAAAAATATAGTAAATATTGTGAAATATTAATACAATTTAAAATAACGGTTTCCTATTGTAATCTACTTTAAAATGTAATTTATTCCTGTGATCAAAGCTGAATTTTCAGCATCATTACTCCAGTCATCAGTGTCACATGATCCTTCAGAAATCACTCTAATATGCTGATTTGCTGCTCAAGAAACATTTCTTATGATTATCAATGTTGAAAACAGTTGTGCTGCTTCATGTTTCCCCCCACAAAAAAAACATGACTTTTTTTCTCAGGATTCTTTGATGAATAGAAAGTTCAAAAAACAGTATTTATATGAAATACTAATAAAATAGTACAATTTTTAATCTATTTCAACAAGAAAAAGCTACTGACCCAAAAAAACCATATAGCAATAGCATTACTTTTTGTTAGTAGCAGCGAAGAAGTACTACACGTTCAGTAATTGCTGAATTTAAAAAATTTAAACCCTACTTTTAAATGGTTTTAAAGTAATATTCCACTCCAAAATGAAAATTGTGTCATTATTTACTCAAAAGGAGAATTTTAAAGCAGCTATTGAGAATTTGATGACATTTTAAAGAACGCTAATGCAGTTCTTTTCCATACCAAGACAGTTCATAATCTAATAACATCAAGCCTAGCGCAAAATGATATTTTTTAGAGCAGATATAAATTCGTTTTTTGAGTAATAACTATTTCTTTAATGGTTTTGCATTTGCATCCTCACCTCAGCTCCGAGGGCGGTCAGGGTTTCAATGAGCACAGCGGTCTGTAGAGTCATGTGCAGGCAGCCTGCGATGCGAGAGCCCTTCAGGGGTTTGGTCTGGCCATAGAGCTCCCTCATCTTCATCAGACCCGGCATCTCATTCTCGGCTATGTCGATGGCTTTACGTCCCCACTCAGCCAGGCTGATGTCAGCTGAACAGGGAGAAAATTACAACAGATTATGCATAAAACTAAAGCTAAATTCAGCAAACGGAAAGA